AATCTGTCTTGTGTCTATTTTATTATTAGTCCAGCCACAAGAACTCAAGAGGGTAGAGGGGGAAGTTTCTTTTACCCTGACAGTTGGTGAGCCAGGAGGAGCCTGGCTGGAAGCCGCTTCCCGCCCTGAGGCTCCTGCAGCTGAGAGATCCTGGGCCCTCTGATAAAGACCCGCAGAAGGTAAGATTTCTTACTGCCTCAGCTTCCTGGATCTCTCCCTGCAAAGCCTGGTGGAAGGGGGAGTTGGCCAGAGTTCCTTATTTCCTCTCTAAATTTAGATTAGCAGGAGAAAATATTTGTCGAGTTAGCTCCTTGTATTTAGTAACTCTTGGTAATTCCTTTCTTCTCAGAGATGGTCACTGCTTTTTGTCTCTGTCTGTTGTGTTGTCTGCCATAAGAAAGAAGAACCACAGGGCAGCCGGCAGGCACAGGCCCTGTGAGCCTGTTGTTTGAGTCGGTCTCACAGACTGGTTCTCACCAGACCTACATCTACTTAAACAGACCAGACCTGCATCTACTTAAACAGACCTTCCTGTGGGTCTTCCACATTAAAACCACATGAGATGTGTTATTCCGTCTTGTTTTATGTTCTGAGAGCTCTGCCATTTGAAAGGTGTGTCTGGTGGGCAGTTGACTAGACTTGAGTTCTGAGACACAAAAGCAGCACTCTCTTTGTCCGGCCATACCAGCTCTTAGGAGAGTTGGTCATGGGGTCCCTATCCATAATGGGCTGTTGTCTCAGCTTTCATTGCCTTATTTTCTTAGACTATCCATGGGAGTGAACTTTTTAATCATGTGAGAGCTCTATCCTTGGAAACACCTTTTTATCTTTTGTTAAGCCATAAAAAAGGCTTACTGGTTTGAGTCTGTATTTGAAATTAATATAAAGTCCTACTCATCAATGGACAAAGGATCCTTTTTAAAAAAAAAGACAACTTTATTTTAAATTGGAGGATAATTGCTTTACAGTATTGTGTTGGTCTCTGCCATACATTAATCAGCCATAGGTCAAAAGATCCTTTAAGCAGGTTGTATTTAAAAGGAAAAAAATTTGAAAGCTCTCATCGTAAATAACTGTTACATTGGTACTTATGGGGGGAACAAATTGAAAGGACAAATAGACTATAATGGTGAGCCTTAGAGAGTCCCTTATTAAGATGAAAAAACAGAAATTAGACTTTAAAAGTAAGATCCAGCATAAATTCCCCTTTAAAAAAAAAATTGCCCACCTCCTCTACAATTCCTCAGGCCCTCCTAGGAATAACCAGGAAGTAGATTAGCTGGAAGCTTAATACAAACAATTATCAAGGGCTAATAGGAACAAATTTTTTTTGTCTTGCAAAACTTCAAAATCAGAAATGCAACTGTAGAAACAAATCAAGACCCACTTGTTTTTACCATTCCCAAAAGCTTACCTGTTCCTCTTAAAATGCCTTCTAGATATTAGAGAAGATCACAATATTGGACCAAAACTGTCCTGTACTTTAAAAATTATTTTAAAATAATAATTACCCTAAGACTTATAATAATAGATAAATGTAATCCAAAACTCCTACGGGAAAACTGACCTTAAAAGGCCTTTCTTTAGCCTTAAAGGTTATAAATATGGTCATGTCTTTGATATGTAAACACAGCCCACCTTGCCTCAGACTAAGCTTCGATTGGCTAAATTGGCAGAACCCGAAACCGAAAAAGAAGGAAAGATGCCTTTTAAAACACAAACTGCTGAAAGGATCTCGTGCCCAAATTCGAGTTAATCACATCCCTCTACAGGTGCTTGTCAAGGGCAAATACAGAGCTTAAGTCTTTCCCACAAATAATAAAAGATGTTAGCCATCTCAGTGAGTGAACTTAATTTTCTAAATTCTTCGGTAATTTAATTTACACCCTTAGAGTTTGTTAAGTTAAATGATGGGAGATCATTGGATATCTTATCATTTCCAAAAAATAAATGTTGCAGCGTGTGGGATCTTCGTTGCACCATGTGATCTTTCGTTGCAGTGCACAGACTCTCCAGTTGCGGCACACGGGCTCCCTAGTTGTGGTGTTTGGACTCCAGAGCATGCAGGCTCAGCAGCTGTGGGCTTAGTTACTCTGTGGCCTGTGGGATCTTAGTTCCCCAACCAGGGATTGAACCCATGTTCCCTGCATTGCAAGGAGGATTCTTAATCACTGGACCACCAGGGAGGTCCCTCTTGTGCTTTATTGACAAATTCATTTATTTCTAGAAATTATGAAATGTATTTATAAGTTTGCCAAGTCACAAAATACGGTTCACAGTTGTTTACTTCTTTATTCCCTCCAAAAATTTAGATTTCAAAGGATTAATAATTGTAATTAATATACGCAGTTAAAGGTCCCAGAAATGAAAAAAAAGTATTGTGTTTTGGGCTAAGAAAAGGTAAACAGGTGCCTTTGTTAAGGAAAAGGAAAGAGATTTTGTCCTAAAGCTGGCTATTTCTAAATGGGAAAGAAAAGAAGGGACAAATAAAATGAACACAGAAAATTGCAAAAGGTTTATGAAAAAATAATCTTAAGGAATTTTATGTGTGATCAGGACTAAGCCTGGCATGAGTTTAATTAAGTAAAGGAATATCAAAAGTAAACTGGTACAAAATTAAAATTTGGTGTTTATCTCTGGTAAAAAGTTTTCTTGTTCAAAAGTACAAAGTTCTCTTAGATTGTTGGTCTAGTCTTAATAAGAAATTGTAAAAGAAAAAAGTTTTCTTTACCTTTAATATATCTGTCTAGAAATCCAGATTCTATATCTTGTCTTTATCAGGTTTCTGATCACTTAGAAGACACCCACAAAAAACTCCTAAGTCTTTCAATATTAAAAGAACTAAAGTTTTTTACAACTATTTAGCTTTCTGTATTTGCCAGGGACCTGTTTGTCACTGATTATATGGATAGCTAAATATTGTTTCACAGTGACCAATGGTCCTATTTGACCAAGTGTTTCGAAAATGTTTGATATTTTTGACAAATTCTGCAAATTCCAAATCAACTCTTATTGAACTGGAAATGACTTTGGGGTTTTCCACAGGGCCCCTGGATACCTCAAAAATTTATTTTCTGTCCTTATAAAAGAGCTATTAAACTAATTAGGCTTCTTTTTTATGTTAAATTACATAGGAGACATTTATCAAGTAAATGATAAACCTTCTTAGGTTGTATCATATGGATAAATGTTATTAACATAAATGTTCTAGAAAATAAATGAAATCCCTAAACTTTGGATATGTCATTATATGTTAGCCATAATTCTAGTTACTATCTTAAAATGATATGTCTTAGAGATAACCAAATTTTCTTATCAATTCCATTATAATGAATCATATCTTCAATAGTGGACATTTTAAACTCATTTATCATTTACACACAGTTACTCTTTTACTTGGGGGCAGGAGGAGAAGGGGACGACAGAGGATGAGATGGCTAGATGGCATCACCGACTAGATGGACATGAGTTTGAATAAACTCCGGGAGTTGGTGATGGACAGGGAGGCCAGGCGTGCTGCAATTCATGGGGTTGCTAAGAGTTGGACACGACCGAGCGACTGAACTGAACTGAACTGTTTTACTCAGATGCTTCTACAAAGGCTTTCGGCAAATGTGTTTTATTTTCAGGGAAATTCATGGAAAGAAATCTAACAAATATTCTAGAATATAGGTGTCTGATGACTTTAAAATCATACCTGGATAAGAATTTACAGAACCCTAATGGAGAAATTGATGGCTTCAAAAATTTTTTAACAGAAGACCAAGTGGAACAAGAATTCACTACAAGATTAAATAAACTGAGGAAGATAATTATAATTTTTTATTATTTATTAAAATCTGAAACATTGCTGAGTTTTAAAAATGTTTTCTCCAGATTTAAGGAAAGTTTTTTTGTCTTTTCTCTTAAGCTAACTAGGACTTAGAGCAATTTGGTCCACTATACATTTGTAAGCAGCACTGAAACATTTCTTTTTCTCTCTACTGGATCCCTTCAGCAGTCAGAAACTCTCAGTGAGTATTCTTATTTTCTTGGCAATGTAGTTATTTGCATAAGTTCAGTAAGAATCTGCTTTTCTCAGAACACAATTGGAAACATTGATTGTAGTATCAAAGCTTTGACTGGAATGTCATATTGGAGAGAGACATGCATAGACTCAGATATGACCAGAGAGCTTTGAGGAACCAAGGTTGACTTTATGGAGCCAATTAAGCCCTTTGGAAAAACAGCCTAGAATCTTACTTTCAGGTTTCCCAGCAGCTTTACCAGGTAAGTAAGGAAGGTCATTTCCTGGGACCTTTAGGAAACAGTGTACTTTTTAGACTTGTGTGAAGAGAGGAATTCACCCAAATCTATATCTATTGCAGACAAAGTCGGTTGGTGAACGCTTGGCTTGGCTTCTTATCCTTGAGAGGCTATTAAAGATTCAATCTGAAGTTCCTCATAAAAAGTTCCTGCAAAGCAGATTTAAGAGAGTCTATGTGGTCAATCACTATTCTTGCTGTACTTATGTAAACAACCAGGCCAAGTTTATTGAATCTAGACTTATTTTATGAAAAAATTAGTCTGCTTTGGCCATCTTTGGTAATAATTGTAGAAAGAAAATTATCTTTCAGCAGGAAACTATAATATACTCTATAAAACAGATTTTAGCCCTGTTCATGGTCTTTGAGGTTTTTGTTATTTACTACCGTAAGCAGAAACTGTTTATAGATTCTTTACTAGTTTTAAGCAGCCAAAGCCTAGGTTTCTTTGTCCTCTTTAATTCCTCACAAATGTATTATTTGTCTAAAAAGTATAAAAGCTCTCTGCTTTGGTCACTTATTAAGTCTCATTTCTATGAGACCTCCATGCACAAGAATTAAAATTGTTTTTCTTCCTGGGAATCTGTCTTAGGTTCATTTTATTTTTAGTCCAGCCACAAGAACTCAGGACAGTTGCGGGGGGTGGGGGGCGGATTTAATAATAAATGTGTTTTTTTATGGTTGTTCAATTTGCAGGGATGATGGTCATGATATTAAAATAATCCGAAGTGGACCATGCTGATGGAGAAGTTCACAGAAGAGGAATTGGAGAAAGCACCTTCCACTGCACACTAATGAACTTCATTTCCCGCTTTTCTCTTTTCCTGTATTTCTTTGCATGAGATTTTCTGAGATGAGTTGTGTAAGAGGACAGTGATTGATAAAACAACTACAAAATCCTCATTTTTGGCTTTTATCCTTTTAGTTAAGCTTATTGCCCAGATGACCTATGCATTGCTTAATTTAGTTGGAATAAAATCAGCACTGTATTTAATCACCACTGTTCACTATCGACTGTCCATTCTCACTCAGCAGCCTCATGTGGACCTTTTCCTCTCAAGCAAGGGTGAATTTCACTAAGGGAGAAGGGGTCATTTTTGAGAAGGCAAGGTTTATTCTTCCACATTCTTCTAAATCTTGAAAGTACAATGTAGGTGCAGCTGGTACAGCATTCTGCACAGAGCAAATAATATGTATACTGGAGCTGACTTTAGCCAGAGTTGGTAAAGTCAAAAAGAATCACAAAGGTAAAAATACAAGTTACAAAATACAAAAACATAATCTCCTTTCAGTACAATTTTCCTTCAGGGTTAATGCAGGAAATTGCTTTTTCCCTTCTTTGAGAGCAGTGATTCTGAACCCTGGGTGAATTTTCCCCAGAGGACCTTTGGAACTATACAGGCATTTTGGGTGTCACAACTTGAATGGTAGATGATCCTGACATCTAGTGGGCAGAAGCCAGGGATGCTGCCACACACATCCAGCTCCCACAACAAAGAAATTTTCAGTCCAAAATATCAGTTGTTCAGTCGCTAACTTATGGCCGACTCTTTGCAACCCCATGCACTGCAGCATGCCAGGCTTCCCTGTCCTTAGCTCCCAGAGTTTGCTCAAACTCATGCCCATTGAGTCGGTGAGGCCATCCAATCATCTCATCCTTTGTCGTCCCCTTCTCTGGCCTTTGATCTTTCCCAGCATCAGGGCCTTTCCAATGAGTCACCTCTTCGTGTCAGGTGACCCAAGTACTGGAGCTTCAGCTTCAGCATTAGTCCTTCCAATGAGTATTCATGGTTGATTTCTTTTAGGATTGACTGGTTTGATCTCCTTGTTGTCCAAAGGACTCTCAAGAGTCTTCTCCAGTACCACAATTCTAAAGCATCAATTCTTTGGCACTCAGCTTTCTTTATGGTCCAATTCTCACATCCATACATGACTACTGGAAAAACCATAGCTTTGACTAGAGGGACCTTTGTCAGTAAAATAATATCTCTGCTTTTCAATATGTTGTCTAGGTTTGTCATAGCTTTTCTTCCAAGGAGCAACTGTCTTTTAATTTCATGGCTGCAGTCACCATCTGCAGTGATTTTGGAGCCCAAGAAGATAAAGTCTGTCTGTTTCCATTGTTTCCCCATCTATTTGCCATGAAGTGATGGGACCAGATGCCATCATCTTAGTTTTTTGAATTCTGAGATTTAAGCCAGTTTTTTTGCTCTCCTCTTTCACCTTCATCAAGATGCTCTTAGTTCCTCTCCGCTTCCTGCCATAAGGGTGGTGTCATCTGCGTATCTGAGGTTATTGGTATCTCTCCCTGCGATCTTGATTCCAGCTTGTGTTTCATCCAGTCCAGTATTTTGCATGATGTACTTTGCATATAAGTTAAATAAGCCGGGTGACAGTATACAGCCTTGACATACTCCTTTCCCAATTTGGAACCACTTAGTTGTTCCATGTCCAGCTCTGTTGCTTCTTGACCTGCATACAGATTTCTCAGGAGGCAGGCAAGATGGTCCTGTAGTCCCATCTCTTGAAGAATTTTCCACAGTTTGTTGTGATCCACACAAAGGCTTTAGTGTAGTCAATGAGCAGAAGTAGATGTTTTTCTGAAATTCTCTTGCTTCTTCCATGATCCAGCAGGTGTTGACGATTTGATCTCAGGTTCCTCTGCCTTTTCTGAATCCATCTTGAACATCTGGAAGTTTTCAGTTCATACTGTTGAAGCCTAGCTTGAAGGATTTTGAGCATGATCTTGCTAGCATGTGAAATGAGTGCAATTGCGCAGTAGTTTGAACATTCTTTGGCGTTGCCCTTTTTTTTGGATTGACCTTTTCCAGTCCTGTGGTGACTGCTGAATTTTCCAAATTTGCTGGCATATTGAGTGCAGCAGTTTCACAGCATCATCTTTTAGGATTTGAAATAGCTCAACTGGAATTCCATCACCCCTTACTAGCTTTGTTCGTAATGATGCTTCCTAAGGCCCACTTGATTTCAACACTCCAGGATGTCTGGCTGTAGGTGAGTGATCACACTATCATGGTTATCCATGTCATTAACACCTTTTTTTGTACAGTTCTTCTGTATATTCTTGCTACCTCTTCTTAATCTCTTCTGCTTCTGTTAGGTCCTTGCCATTTCTGTCCTTTATTGAGCCCATCTTTGCATAACATGTCCCCTTGGTATCTCCAATTTTCTTGAAGAAATCTCTAGTCTTTCCCATCCTATTGTTTTCCTCTGTTTCTTTGCGTTTTTCACTTAAGAAGGCTTTCTTCTCTCCCTTGCTGCTCTCTGGAACTCTGCATTGAGTTGGGTATATCTTTCCCTTTCTTCTTTGTCTTTCCCTCCTCTTCTTTTCTCGGCTATTAGTAAGGCCTCCTCAGACAGTCACTTTGCCCTCTTGCATTTCTTTTTGTTTGGGACAGTTCTGGTCACTGGCTCCTGTATAATAGTGCTGAGACATCCTGTCTTCAAGTATGATGCAACATACATACAGATGTAGCAATAATAAAAGTGACCAAAAGTTAATTGAGAAAGATAGTGTTGTCCAGGTAGAGGATTTTGAGTTGAGTCTTGGGTTTAACTGAATTCTGGGGCCAGAAAATTGAGACATGAGGCAGGAGGTGGCTGGGAGAGTATATAGTAAAAAGAACATGGCTTTGGGGAGTGGGCTTAACATGAATTTGAGTTCTGATTCCAATATTTACTTGGGCTTCTGTTTCTTATCTGGAAAAGAAGGATCATGCTCAACTCATGGAGCTGCTGTGAGGAAACTGCTTAGCACAGCACTTGGTCCATGGACACTACTGAAATAGTAGCTACTGTTACTTCAAGTACCCCTCTTAGGAAGGACGAAACTGAGGCCCACAGAGGCAAGCCAACTTGCCAAAGGTTATAGAATACATGCCAAACACGTATTTTTTGTGGCCTAGAAGCCTGGTCTCCAAATACCCAGACCTCTGTTTTTAACAGAATAGAGGCAATAAAGTAGGAAGTTGTATAACATAAATGTGCCACAACTACATTATGTCTGTAGTTATTTTTGGCTTAAAAGTTTTATAAAAGTATAATAGAAAAAAAAGTATAAAATTTTAGGAAAGCTAAAAATACACAGAAGTATATTTAAAGATGAAAGTCTTGCCAATAGCAGCCTCCAGAGGTGACCAATAACCTTTTGGAACATAGTCTCCCTACATATGTTGGTACATATAAAATCACACACATACAGAAATTCACCCTGTCTGTAAACTTACTTTTCTCCTTATATTTGGGTTTTTAACATCAATATATGTAGTTCTTTTAAAAACTGCATAGAATTTTATTATTGTGCCATAAGTTAGCCTTCTCTATTGATTTGTATTTATATTATTAGGAGTCTTGTGGCTGAAACTGGAGGAATCCCAACTCAAGCTAGCCTTAGGTAAAGAAGAAATTGTCCCATTTAGTCATATTTGCAGAAGAGCTGGAGGGTAGAGGTGGCATTAGCCTCAGAGGGTGCCTAGTACCAGGGACTCTAATGCATTAAGACTCCTTGTCTTTTCATGTTCATGTTTGCTTATTTCAGCATAAACAACTTCATTCATGGACTAGCTTTACCCCCCTGAGTTGGAGGCAAAATTGGCAGCTCTAGATCCTATCCCAGCAACTTCCTAACCTGACAGGAAATGAGTCTTTTGTAACAACTCCAGGTGAAAAAGGCTGCTGGAGTCACAGCCCCACAGCCTTATTACTTAAAAAAAAAAAAAAGCCTTTTCTGGGCCAAGACCCTGATTGGTTCATGTTGATCACACACCCACCATTTAGGCCCAATTGTGGTCACAGGAAATAAGGTGATATATGATTGGTTCAGCTGAGATGAGAGATTGGGTGCAATGTTCCCAGAGGAAAAATAGGGGAAAATTTAAGAAGAAACAAATCAGTAGATGTTAACTATAATTGCTTATCTGTACTATTACAATTTTTAATGATAATAAATGTTTCAGAAAATATCCTTCTTAACACATTCTTGGCACTTAAATACACATACACACGATGAAAATAGCTTTAAAAAATGGTTAGCGGCCATTTATGCTCATGTAGCATACAGTAATCATTTGGCTTGCCCAGCATTTCTCCCTTCTTCTGCTCCAAAAAGGCATTTTTTTCTAGCTCCAACTGTCCTTCTTCAATCCACTCCCAACTTCTGGTTGAATGGAACCACTGCCTTCTTAGTCGATCCCATATCCTGCCCCTGGTGATAGGTTGAAGGGTGAGCACGTAGTTCAAATCAAACCAATCATGACCAGTAGTAATCCCCACTACCCTGGTCACAGAGGTTGGTCTGCAGTCTGTTTTTGACCATTCAGAGTCCTTCCTCAGAGAACAGCCTTTTCCTTTTAGGTGGTGGAATCAACAGTCTGTGTCACTGGAAGCTGCTGGAAGCAGTGGTCCCTCACTACAAAGAAAGACTGTGGTAGGAGAGCATGAGGCCAACATGCCATAGGGAGCAGAGACCAAAGGCCCACAGTCTCAGTGGGGCTCAAAGCATTCTGGTTTGAGGCCTTAGGGTCCCTGGGGCACCTCGGTTGTCTACTTTGCCATGGCTTATATTAGTTGGTCAGCTTTTCCTTTGATTCTGTGAGCTGGCCTGCTGTCCATTCAATATTGCCTCCAACACTTTTTTTTTTTTGCTTATAGCAGTTTGAGTTGGGTTGTCATCATATAAACTCGGCTAATAAATTCAAACAATTCAGAAGTGTGTGAAGTGAAAGA